CTGGAACTTGATGAACATTTTTTTTTCATTCCCTCTTCTTCCCCCCTGCCCCTGCCTCACCAGTCTCACTAGAGGCTTGCCTGTTCAAGGCTCTGGTGTGGTGAGGGGGTTGGGAGAGACACCTGCACAGCACAGGAGCTGGTCCTAGTCCCCACACTGCACAGGAACCAGTTCAAGGGTCTGGTGCAGTGTGGAGGCTCAGAGTAATGCCAGCCTCTCACCTAACTGAAAGCAAAGCCTACTTTGAGCTGCAATCTGTATAACTAGTAGATAGCCACAAAGAGTTTTCAGTCTGACTGGACAAGACAGATAAAAGTGGGTGATAGGATGTATCTTATTATCCTAATTTTACAGAGGAGTAACTGAGACCCCTGGAGATGAAATGACTTGCCTAATGTCACACAAGAAGTCTGCAGTTGAGCTGGAGATTGAACCCAGAACTGTTGAGTGCCACCAAAACCAACTTTTTCCTGTGGTGGCCTTGTCATCTGATAATTTACTGACAGAGTTTACAGTGTATGGGACATTTACATGTCCCACACAATATGAACTGTCCTTTTTTCACACCATGGATATTGCTTATTAGGGCTGTGTGAAATGTCACCTGCTGTTTTGTTTTGACAGTTTCTACTCTTTTTGAGTTCAAAACAAAAAAATCGAAATGAAACGAAGGGCTTTGAAACAGCCTCGAAACAAAAGAAGGCTAGTCAAAGCGTTTCAAAAGTAATGAGTTTTGAAGCAGCCAGCAGCTAGGTGGTAGAAGACAGGGGAGAACCAGGGCTGTGCTCCCAGAGGCTCCAGCTCAGCCAGGTGGGAAGCGCAGCCCTGGCTTTCCCCGTCTCCCACCGGGCTGCAGGAAGCCGATCCCAGCGCAGGAAAAGGGAACTGAGCCGGGGCTCAGTTCCCCTCCCCAGCACTGCAATCAGGCTGAAGAAGGGAACTCAGTTTAATCACTCCGTTCCCCTCCCCAACCCAATGGTCACACTGGGGAGGGGAACTCAGCTCAGCTGGGCTGAGTTCCTTTCCCCAGCCTGATGGTAGCGCTCAGCTCAGCCCCAGTTTCCTTCCCCAATTGATCCCTGTGCTGGGGAGGGGAACCGAACAATGGAGCTCAGTTCCCTTCCCCAGCTCCCTGGTCCCAGGCGGCATCCCTCCCTCATCTGGCAGACATATGGGGCCCACAGCCTGGGGAGGACTGGCACAGCCCCCACAGCCATTGGGCCCCAATCTGCCTGCCGGATAAGAGAGGCTGTTTTGAGCTTCCCCATCATAGCCTATGGGCAAAACGTTGAAACAGCATCACCGTTGTTGCAAAACGAAATGGAACAGCAGTTTCGAATCAAAATTTGAAACAAAACACTGTTCCCTCGAAACCTCGAAACACAAGTTGAAACGGAACGGTGCCATTTCACACAGCCCTATTGCTTATCACCTGGAATCCACCTATCAGAAGAACAGAATTCATGCCCTCCTCCACAGGCCCAAATGTATCACTTTCTCTCATGACAATATGCTCAGGGGCCAGTATTTACTAGCTCAAGAACTTAAAGTTCAGAAAAAGTATCTGGATTTTTTATCAGCTACAGAAGAGTGGAAAGAGGGAACATTCATGACTGTGTGTTAGAAAGTTTAATAAAGCAGGAGTGGGTGTGGTGATACTGCCTGGTATCACCACACCTAGAGTAGTGGAAAATACACAACATTTGCCTCAAGGCTCTAGGTCAAACTTTCAGGTGGAGTGCAATAACCTTCCTTTCCTATTCTGTAACTGCAGTATTCTTGTTTATTAGGAAGTGCTCCTGGTTATTCACCTGTGAATCCCAAGCTGGAAAGTGAGCAGCAGGTGCCCATGCTGAAGGCTGCTTTGGAGTCCTCCAATGGAAGGGGCTCTTCATAGTCTGCAGTAGCTAGCCTCCTTGAATTGGAGACTGATAAATTAAGAGATGCGGAAGACCCATGGAGTTAGATTGGTGGTAAATGAATTTGTCTTTGATCTTAGTTTTTTCCCCTTTTCTGCCTGTATGGAGCAATATCCTGTTTTCTTATTCAACAGAAGCATAACCTCCTGTAACTTTATTGGCTGAAAATGGAGATATGCCAGTGACTGCTAGGAAGTGTTATGAGCTGAATAAAGTCTTGTGTAGATGAAACGGGGGCCCTAAATTGAAGCAGTGGATTTTAAAAAGCACCGCTTCAATTTAAGGCTGATTAAACCCGTGTCAGGTACACAGTCTGCTGACTTACCTGCCTCTCCAGCATGGAGGGGAGAGCGAGCTGCTGGCGAGCGGAGCAGTGCCTGGGCTGTGGTGGGGGGAGGGTCTGGTGCTTCCTTCAGCAGCAGCGGCAACCCCCTCCCCCAGGCAGCACCCACCTGCAGGCACCTGGCTTGGGGGGCACCACAGCCATGGAAGGAAGTGCTGAGCCCCTGTGTAGCTCAGGCAGGCAGGCTCCGGGGG